TCTCTCTCTCTCTCTCTCTCTCTCTCTCTCTCTCACACACACACACACACAGTCTGTCTTTTGAAAGAATATACAAAACTTTATATTCCCTTTGATTTGCATTAATATTTATTTTTAATATTAAATATAATTTCCAAAAGACTTGTTATGTTTTTGGTATAAATATTTAATTTAATATTTGTGAACTCAAGCAAAATAAATGCTTTGAATTTTTTTGTATAAAATAATTAATTCATTACGTTTTGAATTTAAATGTAATTTTGTGTATAACTAAGCTTTTGAGTAGTATTTTGTGAATAGTTTTTTGGGTAATGTTTTGAATGAATGGCTGCTTTTTTCTCCCTCTTAACAACATTTGTTGCAAATATTAACAGTTGTGTTGAGATGTGTTTTTAATGTATAATCCAGTGGTAAATATGTGTAAAATTTTATAATATAAGAGATATTATATAATATATTGGATCAAAAATATGATGAGAATTATTGTTAATAATGAATGAAAAATATTGTTAATTAAATGGTTTTGAAATACCGTTTAACCGGTTATTAAACTGTAGGCAAACAAAAGGCAACTCTCAAACAATATTACATTTTTCCCAATTTGTAAACAAAACAATGAAAATAGAGTCCAAATATATATTTATTTTTTTGTATTTTATTTATTATATTGTTTTAAACATACAATTGAAAAATATTTGTGAAAAGAATTTTTAAAAAGCATTTGCGAAATATTATATATGAAACGATTTGCGGGACAACTAATGAAAGCAATTTAAATGCTATTTTTATGAGCCCTTTATTAGGAGGTGTTGTGTAATATAGTGTATATAATATTTATACTAACGTGTAATACGTTTTGTATATATAATTACATAATAGACAGGAATTATAAATGAGTTTTGTGTTAATTTTATTGAATGTTTTTAAATACAGCGACAGATAGTTATGATAGAGAAGTGATATTAAATAAGTGTTTATTATATAACACATGCGTTGTTTTGCTTTGATTTTGGTTTTTATTGTATAAACTGAGGTATCCTTTGATAGCAAGGATTTATCACAAAAAAATACAAACTTTTTTGTGTTGCTTAGAGACGATTGGTTTAATTCAATCCAATTAATTGATTCATTCGCTTATTATTTATCTGATTATATTATATATTGATTGCACTTCAATATACTCGCCACTCATATAATGCTAATCCATTCATTGCTTTTATTATTGTTTTTTGGGTTTATTATATAAATATAAAACAGTTATTATGTATTTTTTAAATACTTATCATTATACTGTGTTTCCATTTGTTTAATTGAATTGAGTCTCAAATCATAGCAATAATTAGTTATTTTTAAAATTGAATGAATCGTTTGCACAGACAGTCTGTTTCTATGTCTGTTTGTTGTGTTGAATGAGTTAGCGTTTGATTTGTTGAAAAGATTTCTATTTATCTATTTATTAGTTATGTATTCAACAGTCAATAGGGATTTGATTTTATTTAAATAAAATTTAAATGACATAATAATACATTAGTTATCACTTTCATTGTCAATGATGTCAATTGAATGTTAAGGCAAAATGTTTTGATTGTTTTGCTGGCATTTAATGTGAACCTCATTTGAGTCTAAAATGATGATAAATATTAGCGTCATATTTGCTTTTCTCATAATATAAGTCACGGAAAAAAGAAAATGCGCTTATTAGCGTAAAGCTAAAAATTGTTTTATATTCAAAGTACTTAACTTTAAGCAAAGTTTTAATTGTCATAATAATCATCAGCTATCACTTATTATATCACCAATTTTTCAATTTTCTATTCAACGAATTAACTTGATTTTTAGGCAATAAACAAATACAGCCTCGATTTGATGACCTCTGCAACTTTTAATGCCATTCCTCTAACAGACAACAGAAGTGATAGGAGTCGGTGGGAATCGGAAGGGGGTAAATTGGGGTATAGGGCAGGGTTGGTATAGAATTTATATCCCCCGTATTTAAAATGTTTTGATTGGTTAATTTTTTAAACGTATTTTTGGTAGATCTTTTTAGGTACTGAAATCGTACAAAAACCAATTTTCTTGGCCTGAACCTTTTCCTGGTCACTCTTAAATTGTTTGTTTCCCGCATCTCCAGTGTATGAATATATTTTAGGCTGATATTTTTAACCTTGGTCTCCCATATCAGTTTGACCATTACCGACGGGTGGCCAGCATTGGCTGGGAATTACTGCGATAATCCTAGTCGTTAAAAATTTTTAACTATCACAATCATTGATACTCATTTAGACAATTTTTATCATATATAGTTTTGATTTTTCCGGGAACAATTTTGTAAAATACAACATTATTAAATTTCTACAAAATTAATGTCAAAAATTGGTGATGTTCGGAGACTTGCTGGTCATCAATGGAAAATGCTACAAAATTTTTGTTTACAGTAAAATGATTTTACATTATTATATTTTTACACGAGGATATAATCTATAAACTGGGCACATCATTTACTGGTGAAATAATTAATTTACGTTCACACTATAAAAGCGCATTTTCTTTTTTCCACCACTTATATGATACCCTTTTAGAGACCATTTTTTTGTTTAAATTTACAATCAATTAGGCTTAACATATATGAGATCCGGTTCTGTATAACACATGCTTTACGCGATTAAACACTATTTAAGTTTTAATTGACAACAGAATTAGTGTTTTGGTATATCGAGTGGCAAATTGTTTGGTCACTATTCTGGCCGTGATATATGAGAGACACATAAATCAGTGGATTATATTGTTTTATAAAATGAGTGACAAATGGTAGGCATTTATTGATATTAATTGATAAGCGATAATAGAGGTGATTGTGAATGTTGTAGTATTTTATCGATGCCCATAGAGTAGTATTGGATGGAGTGGTAGTAGTAGTGGTGGCTGACGGGTGTGTAATGTTGTGGAGCATGTCTTTAGTCTGATTTACGTAGGCTTTACGTACATATGCCTAGTGTTGGGTAGTGTTTGGTTGGATGTGAATGTAGGCGAAATCGATAGGAAAAGTTTAAGTCGAGTGCCACCGATATTTCGAGTACACACTCTCACACACACCACTCTCCCGATGTCTCCCCTTCTCTCTCACACACACTCTCTATGAGCTCTCTTTTCGAGTCGATATATACGAGAGAAACAAAACTCTCTCTTTCTGTCTGTAGTGTTTGAGACAATATTGTTGTGTTAGTTATCGTCAAAACTGAATCGCGAATAGAAAATAGATTTGTATTGCTTTTTGGTTGTATGGGTTGTGTATGTATTGAGCAACCAGTGGCTCAACAGCTTCTTTATCGCTCGCACTGACAGCTGTTTCACACAATATCTGGTTTCTGGTGTTAATTACTGCTATAAATTGGTTAATAATCATCAGTCGATTCATTAGATCCACAGCCAATACTGTGTGTTGCCAATAGTGGTGTGTGTGGTGTAGCAGATGGTAGTGCTGTGTCCGTACGGATGCGTCCAAACGGTGCTCTTCGTAGCAATGAAACACCACTACATCGACACCGATCCACACAATTCATACATGAGTTGTCTTCCTGTATATCACTCGCAATGTCTAATCGGTTGTCTACAAGACGGCCGAACCTGTGGTCATATAACGGGGCCAATCGTTTCGGTGGTCGCGGGCCGTCGCCCACCAGTCAATGCCGAACGCCATTACAGTCTTTGTCTCCTATACTAAACTCTAACGACACATACATTTGTTGTTCATATAGTCCCAGATGTTTCATCATTCAAAAGGTATTCAGTGTCTGTGTGTTTGCATTGTATTTATTTTCAATTGTCATTAAACGCTGTCATAACGAAAGTGACACTCATTTTTCAATTTGTTTTCGTGATATGTGTCTATCCTTTATATTTATTTCTATCACATATTGTCTTTTGAATGCATTATATGTGTTGTCATTAGCCGTAAATGTGTTGACAGTGAGAATCCAAAACATAAATAACTTATTGATTTGAATGGTTGCCGACCAAAGGTCATGGGTTACGACGCCCTCATTCATACATATAGTGGCCGTACGTGTAGTCTGTGTTTCGGCTCACAATTGCCTGTAAATCATAGTTTTTGGTTCCCTTTCTTAAGGAGCAGGCGTTGAATGAATCGGTTTGAGAGACGAGAGGCTGTATAACCAGTAGAGTGAAAGTGCTCTACACTTGTATAGCACTAACAAATATCGTATTCTGTATTACAGAATATACACAATATATAGAATATATACTCTATTCTCCAATTTCTATCCGCCCCCACAGTCTCTCTCACAGCTCTCATCACACTATTATCATATGCGTCCAAATATCAGCTCTCTCTCTCCCTCTCCCTGTCTCTCATTTATGATCTATATTTACCTTAACTCTCATATAATTAAAGGTATTTTCAATTTGATCATTTAAATGGCTTTTATTTATAGCCAAGACTTCTAATTGAATATCCTTTTGATGTTTAAACCAATGTGTGTTCAATGAAGCGATTATTTCTATGAAAATGACTTGAAAACTGAATGCACGGACACTTTTAAATACACATATAATTTGAATTAATTATAATATAATTATAGACTATTTTAAGGCGTAAAACACTGTTATTGTGTGGAAATGATTATTAAACATATTTTTCATTTATACCCATATTTGAGTAAACAGTTTTTATTATTGGCGTATAATCGTTATATATATTTAGATACATATTTAAATAATGTAATATTTATTTAGTGAATGTACTTTATAACTATGCAAAGCCTTTATAAAGTCTTTAAACTTATATTCAAATCATATTTCAATTGTCTGTCTCTTCAATAAGTAAATTGAATATAAATGAGTTGCCATTCATTAAACATTTGATGCTCTCATACCTAATGCTTCTCTAATTGTTTGGCAATAAATTAATATTTTCAATAATTAATTGTTTGGCTCATTATTGTTATGATTTATATTGATATGAAACACAAACACATAACTACTTGATATCGATTTATCTATCATTTCGTAAAATGGTTTCTAAATTGTGTGAAATATATGTACTGTATATTGCATTTGAAACATGCATTTTGTTACGAAATGTAACCTTTTAGTATTTATTCTTGAAAATCAAACTTAATTTTATGCATTAAATTTATGAATTCGTGAATAATTGAGTTATTACTGATCTGTATATGTAATAAATATTTGTCTCGTTTTATTACTGCCAAAGTTATGCACGATTTTGTTTTCTTGTCTCAAAAGTATTTTTTAATTAATATTAATATATTATTAGAATTGTTTAATATATAAACACATTCTTTAGTCATTTATATCAATATATTATAAATAACATTATTGTCACTAAAACCGAGCGATTAGTTTTGCTGACATTTATTTGATAGATATTTTTGAACACTTTATTATTATACTCACATATATTGTCAGTACATTGGATAATAATATACTGTATATAAGTTTGGTTTTGTTGTGTAAGAAATGTTTAGTCGATTAGAAAGTTATTTATTCATTGGCTTTAGAATTGAAAAATATGAAAAATGTATTGAATGAATAAATTGATAGTGTGTTTGTTGTTGAATGACCCGTACATTAAATATAAAGTTACAGTAAATGTAAAGTTAAAATGAATTAATTAATCAAATGATTGTTTATATTTGTCTCGATATGCAGGTAAAGCCATCAACATTGCAGTCGACTTTATGCACAACCAGTGCTAACAGCTGTGAAACGGCAACAAATTGTGAGCAAATATTTTACTAATATTTCATACATTAATTGAAAGTCTAATATAACTGTATTAACATGTATTGTATGCCTTTGTGTGAACCCGAAACAGCCATTCCGACCACTCATCTGCTGAGAACCAAGAGATGTACAAATCATGACCGGAAGAGAATCACTGGTAACACATCCGACACCGAAGAACTCACTAAAAAAGGTGAGACACAATCCATTACCATCACTACCTGTACTTCTCGTTGAGATATAGCCTAACAATTATAGCGAAGTTTTGTTGAAATTAGTTTTGGATTGAAAAGTGTTTGCATTATTGATAATTAATGTCAAATTTGAGTTAAATTGGGTCTTATTTTGTTGTTGTTGTGGATGTGTTAGTCGATTGCCATTTCTATTCTTGAATCATTCTCTCACTGACTGATAGCAAGTGGGAAATGGTATGCTTTGGAGAGAGACGGTTGTTGTTTTTGGTGGTGATATGTGTACAGTTGGCGTGTGTGTGAGTGTGTGTGCGGTAGTGGTGTGTTGTCTGCACTGTATTTTGTTGATGAGATAACCAGTGTTTCGAGTGTTTCATTGATTCAATTTCTTGCGTTAAGTCTGTGGCTGTGCTGTGCGTCGGCTCAACACATATTCCACATACAGTATGACTGCAATCATAATAACAGTAATACTCTGCATATACTCTATGTTTTTGAGGCGAAAAAATGTTTTTCTCTCAATTCATTACAACTTTACATTAGCTGTGATTCCAGTTTTTTAAAGCACTTATTAATGCCATACAGTTTTTGAACTAAATTTTTACTCAAGAGGGGAGAAAACAAAGTATTTCTTATTTATTTATACATTTAATTTAATTTGATATATTTCGACGACTTTGAGCGCAAAGTTATCCATCGGTTATACAGTATGTGTGCATAATATGTATAAATACCGCGTTTCGGATGCCATCGGGAAATAATGTTTGATTATAAGTGCAAAACATTGCGATTATATGTTTGGGATATTGAGTGCAGATATACTGTCGTATGCCATATGAGGTAACTCTCCTCCTAATCACATATCCTCCTCATTCATACGATGAGCTAATTTTAGTTCAAACTTAAGGTTATGCATACCTTCTCTCTCTCTCTCTCTCTCTCTCTCTCTCTCTCTCTCACACACACACACACACACACACACACACACAATGTATTATAATTATATACAGTTAGTTCCCGATTATTCCATGTCTCACATTATATTTATACACATTTATCCCATTATTTTAATTCCCGATTTATTTTCATTTTCACTGTTGTTTATATGAATAACAAAACGTATATTTGATTCAATAATATTTAGTTTTGATGTCTTAATCAGTGCTTTGAATCACTTTTTATTATTATATAATTGAATGAAAAAGTATTTCTCTTCGCATTAATTCAAGTTTCGTTTAATAAATATTTGATTATTGTTTACAAAGTAATGGTATTTAAATACATGGTATACGTCGAGAGAGATATACATGTATGTTTATTAATATTTATGTATTTAATATTTGTGTGTTTTGTCTGCCGTGTTGTGTATATTATTCACAAATAAAATATTTATTTTTCAGTCAAATACCACATTTCATTCAAGACGTGAAAACATTATTTTCAGTAATGTTGCAAAAGTCGTGAAATTTTTTGTACATTTTTATTATTAGAAATATTTCGCGAAAAATAATACATCGATAAGAAATTTAATGAATTTGATTTCAATTAGTATTTTATGCGATTAAGTATTAATATTGTATGCATTTCTATAAATTGATTGAATTTACATTTAGGCGACGAGAATATAGAAATTGTTGCTAACTTTTGCTAATATAGTGAATGATATTATGCTTTAAATATCTATTTGTGTACATATGAAGGGAATAAATGCTTATTAAACAGGCCTTTAATTAGACAATTGTTGTGTATATATGACTATTAGTTACAATACGATTGTATGCAATGATATGTATTTGAAGTGATAATTCTGGTGGTAATAAATGACAATCAAATGCTATAATGACGTCAATTAATATGTCGTGAAAGGCGGACAACAATTTGATGAGCTTTTGACTCATATTATGTTTAAATATTATGATTGTTTTGATTTGAAATGATTGCCACAAATGTGTCTCATTTTATGATATATTCATATGAATATCATTTAAAGCGTTAACTATTTTTGTTAAAGGGATTGAGAAATAATGTTTTTTCTCGCTATTAGTAATGTATGAAAACATTTGTGAAAAACTTGTTTTTTATGTATGACTTTTTGTACTCAATTAGTGTTTAAATAATTTAATGGTTTATTAATATTTTTCGTACGATTTTATATATAATTTTGTGAATTTAGCAATAATTATGTTTTTTGTGTGTTTTCTCTAAACTAATAGACAATGTGTTGGAAAATGAATTAAAGATCGCCGACAAGAAAGACAATACGATTACTGTCTGCCAAACGACTACCACTACTATAGCCACAGAAACCATACAACAGATGAACAATCCATTAGCCAATGATAAGAATCCAATTATGATCTCTAATACACCGAACAATAACACCAATGATATTGTCATCAATGATGAGTCACACGAGAAGAGCCGACACGAGAAATCTAATCGTAAGTATCGATCACTTTCGGGATCACATTCTTCACTGCTTCACACCATTTATGTTATCATTTTGTTCCCCAAAAGAACTAAATAATCAAATGTCGAACAAATCGGAAGTGGATTTACGGCGAGCCCTTCAGCAACAGTTGGAGTACTACTTCTCGCGTGAGAACCTCTCGCGTGACCAGTATTTGATATCTCAGATGGACGCGGATCAGTACGTGTCGATCGCCATTGTGGCCAACTTTGATCAAATCAAGCGTCTGACGGACGACCGGCAACTGGTGACGGATGTGTTGCGTCAGTCGCCGGCCGTTCAGGTGGACGAGAAGGGAGAGAAAGTGCGTCCATTACACAAGAGGTGTGTTCTTATACTGAGAGAAATACCGGAGTCGACGGTCGCCAAAGACATCGAGAATCTGTTCAGCGGCCAGAATTGTCCGAAGTTTGTGAACTGCGAGTTCGCGCATAACCAGAGCTGGTATGTGACCTTCGAGACCGATGAGGACGCACAACGAGCTTATAGATACATACGTGAAGACGTGAAAGTGTTGCCCACGACTGGCAAACCCATTATGGCTCGCATCAAAGCCAAACCCATTGTCCACTCCGTGACCAACAATTACAATAAGAACGGATTCCGCCCACCAGTCGTCAGCGGACCCGGCGTTCCGTCGACAGCGACCCCCACAGCAAACAATGGCATATCAAACACGACGGCCGCCGGCGCCACAGCAGCGCCCGTTTCCAGCGAGCCCTTTGTCCCCTCGAACTCGCAGCCAATTCTCACACAACAGAACTTCACCAACACTTATGCAAACGTGCCTACAGTCAACTTCAACTCCAGGGTAAGTCCACCTCTCCCTCTCATTGGCTATTAAACGAGTTAATTGTGATTGTTTTGTGTGTATCAGATATACCCCCCATTCTACCCGCCAACGATGCTCCAGGCGTGGACACCGACCACTCAAGCCTGTTATGATCTGAGCACAGTATTCGTTGCCAATGGGTTGGCCCCTCACGCCTACCCGACCGCCGCCGCACCCGTGTTTGCCTCGAAGCCCACCCTTCGACCCAATAATATTAAACCTCATATAAGTAGTCGTAAACAACATTATCACATGAATCCCAGTAATATTAGTCCCGCGAACACCAATACTAATAATATCGCTAATAATATTAATAATAATATCATTAATGGCAGTACCGGTGGTTTGGCCGCACCTCTATTGGCCAGCAATGCAACCAATGGTTCAGTCATTGCCACAGATTTAATTGCAAATAATACCCACTATAGTAGTGCTAAACATTACTCTAACTCAAAGACTTACCAAACAATCAGCAATTCTGGTGGTAATGAGAACTCATTGAACGCCAACATCGGTAATGTGATCGATGGTGTGGTTGTTGTGAATCCATTGCCACCAAAACACGACGGATTAGCTCAAAGTTCTTTGCATACGACATGTCTGACGAAACCACAGTTAAGCCAAAGTACGGACAACTCGTCAAATGACAGTCGGATGGATAACCGGTCGAACTCGCCGTCAATGAACACGTTTGGCCCTCAGCCCAAGAGTCGAGACATTCGCGACACGAGAGACAATCGGATGAATCGGATCCGCAAACGAAGAGACGACAATGAAAACCCAATTAGTCATTGCAGTGATAGTTCAAGTGCTCCCAAACCCATCGCCACCACTAGAATAGTGGAGACCATTACTGCACACAACGAGCCCTTCGATCTGAAGGCCACGTCTTTCCCTCCTCTGCCCACAAATTCTGCAATTATTCGCTCAAATGATAACAAAGACAGTGAGGAATGTGTCGGCACTCAGTGTTCATCGCTGGCCGATGTCGTGAAGGGAGCCATTCATAAGCAGAGGGGCGACACCACCACCGGCTCTAAGCACGACCAGTCGCTCACGTCTTGTGCCACTCCTGTGCATAGCGTTACTAACGGATCGTTTTGTCCGAATAAACCGAAAGACATTAAACCGAATTGCAGTGAAACTGATGTAAACAGCAATTCTGACGACAATAATAGTCTGAATAACAGCGTCGACGGCGTGACCAGAATTCGGAGGACATCTAACTCCAGCTCTAACTCAAGTATGTGTTGGAAAGTGAGCCCAACTAGTCATGAATCGGATCACTCGCCCAACACTACTACTAATGCAATTCCTGCCAAAAGCCCAAACCATTGTCCGCTAGACTCGTGTAACGTTGGATCGGATGCACTGACACCCGAATGGTGCGAATCACCGGCGAATCAAACGAAAGACTGTTTGAAGTCGAGTGCGATGTCGACCCCCTCTGTGCTCAACGGCATTAACGACTCGTTTTCCATAAACTCGGATTCATTTGATGAAAACAATTCACATTCCAGTGCAACACCACATACGGAGCCCTCCTCTCCCATCTCTGTTCCCAATTCCGTCACTAAAATGGTTAATAACGCCAATCCGTTGTTTGACGCGAATTCAATTGAATGCAACGGCAATGACGACCAAAGCAACGATGAGAGCAATTCAGTGGTCGACTCCGAGAATGGAGACCCGCATCACAACAACACTTCCTCCAAACGACTCACGTATTCAGAGATCGCTAAGCGTTCGGCTAAAGACAAACTCAATCAGAACAGCGACCGAACCAACGCTACCGCTGTTGTCGTCTCCAAAGACAAGGACAAGGAATCGTTATCTTCTAATTCATCCACTTCTTCGCGAGCATCGAGTAATCACATCCCATTTAATTCCAATCGCAAATTCAGTCAGTATTTCATACATTTGATCTTTAAGACAATGGTTTAAGTCTTTAACTCACGTTATTTTTTGGACTTTATTTCAGAAGCCGTTATCGATCACAAGGAAAATCGTTTAGATAACGGTTCCAATCGATCACTACTTTATCGAAATAAAGACATTCGTAACTCACATGATGTCCACGACAGGAACGACAGGTCTATCGCTTCGAGAGTCAAATAGAGAAACTAATGGATCGGAAAACTGATTATTTGATTGATTAACAAAGACTTTGAATATAATTGTTCTTTTGATTCGTTCACAAAATAAGACTATTTTCATGTGTTTTTCAATCGTTGAGAATTTAAATATAGAAATAATTTTTTGTGTGATCTTTGAATGAATCTACAGAATAGGGCCGATATTTAAACACATATTTCCTTCATTTCTCGAAATGTTTTTTTGTTTATTTAATTAATACTTTTTTCGAGCAAATCATGAAATTTTCTCGTTTTGTGTTTTAGTTTTTCTCAAATGTCTCTAAAAAATTGCTAAACAAGTCGTTATAAATGAGTTACTTATTGAGGAGTTTGATAATCAAAACAACAATTTATGACATTTATTCAAAATATATTTGTAAAAACACTTGTTTTGTTAAGTAGTTTTGATTATTCTTTTAAAAATTAATATACATTTAATGAAATTTTATTCATATATTTCTTGGGTTGCGTTTGGTTTACGTATTAAACAAATTTAGTTTAAGATAAAGAAATTTTAATTTAAAAATACATACATATTATGATATATAGCAGAGAGAAGGAGAAAATGATTTGACACAAGTTAATGAAGAGTTGTTTGTTTTTCTATTATAATTTGACAAAAAAGTAATTGTTTTTTCTTATGAGAAAATGTTTGAGAAACAAGAGTTTAAAATAGATTTTAGTGTATGTTTTCAATCAATGCATTCGTGGCCTTTGAGTTTGCCTATGCCTAAGCCATTGTCATAACATATACTGTCATTACATATTACCTGTATATGCGGTCTATAAATTGGGTTATAATTGATCGACATTTTTGTGAACAATATATGATATTTTAATGAAAACAATTTAAATGTGAAAACTAACAAAACAAACAAATATTTTCCAAACAAATATAATATAATATATATTATTCGATATAATATTATATAAATATATATATAATTATAATTATATTTAAACAAAAAAAGTGTACATTTTTGGCAAAAACACTGTTATTAATCATTTGAAGTATGAAAACAACAACCACTTTGTCCTCATCGGTGTCTTTGTTTAATTCTCGTTCACCTCTTAAGACAATTTATTTCATATATGCCTTAATCTTAAACATGATTTACTATTATTAAGTCCTTTGATTTTTTCACTCAATTTTTATTTTACTTCTAACCAGAAGTTTAAACACTGAAATCAATATACATATTGTGTTTTTATCCTTCAATTTCTTTTCCAGTGATATATTAATTAATTTGTGAACTCTTGCGAAAGGAAAGGTGTTTTTGTGTTGATTTTAATGCCATTTATCGGCAAAATGCGGTTTATTATTGTTTCGCCGCTTTTGTTGTTTAGACAATTTTGCCCAAAATATAAGCAGATATTATATAACGAGAAGTATTTCTCTTCAATGAAATGGTTATTTTGGTGTGAAATCCAAAGACTAATCAATTTTCCTAATCAATAGACAATTTCCTAATTATGAAAGTGAAGAGAGGGTACCTTTCCTTCCGTACGTTTCAATGGATTTTTGTGTAAAATATAAGAAACATAACTAAAAAACTAAATTTCAATTTTATTTAGCGTTTAATTTTGATGAAAACGATTTTTGGAGTCTATTCTCAATATAAATATATTATATATTTGCCACAGAATTATAGGTTATTATATTCTTTGAGTTATTTATTGTTAGTATAATTGATATAAAAAGCGGTTCAAGAATTGATGTTGAATTGAACTGAATTACTGTTGTTATCAGTAAACCACTGATTGAACACTGAATTTGTTATTTGAGAGTAAAATATTAATTAATTAATAAATTAAGAGATGAATAATAATAATAATTGTTCAGATATTTTGAATGTCTGTATTCACTGATTATATTTCACTACATTTTACTAATATATATATAATTAAATGAAGAGGTGGAACAGATATTGTGATCAAAACTTCATTACAATATAACTATAATTATTATTTTATGACAAAATGTTTAAAATTAAAAGTATAAACAAGAATATCAAATAAAAGTTGTAAAATGCGGTATAAAATGGCAAAAACACAGAAATACAAAGTTATTGTAATTAATATTATAATTATTATTATAAATATATTTATCAAATCAAACAAAAAACATACAAAAATACTAAACGATTCAATAAATATTGTAAAAATGAAAGTTGTTTTGAAGTTTTGCAAAAAAACATTAATTGATTGATCCGTTGATGAATTGCTTTTTTGAGGATTAAAATTAATAACGTATTAATTGAATATTATATAAGTTATGAAAAATTACATAAATATTTATGATAAAAATTGACAAAAAATACAAAAAATAATTGTGATAAAAAATTATTAATTATAAAAAATATTAATTGTGTTGTATTTTGAATGCGAAACAATTGTTTTCGAGTTAATTGTAATTTCAATTCAATTATAAAAAATTCTAATTCCATTCAAATTGATTGCGAGAATTGATTGGATTTTCTCTATCAATGTATCGATTAAAACAAATGCAGAGTTTTATTGACTATTATTACATATGATATGATATAATGAAATCGATATTTGAAATAAATCGGAAAATTAATGATTAAATCTATTAATATTTGCTTTCTTTTAATTGACTACTTATTCAAAGAAATATTGGACACAATGTCTGTTCGATGGACAAGAACTCACGTTTTCTACAAACAATCCACCAATGGTATACAATAGCATCAATTAGCATCAATATCTAGATATAATTGATATCATTTAATTTACTGGTTTATAACTACCAATTATTGGTAATTATTGACTTGACAATCGTTTGATCATAGTTATTCATAAGTTATGAATCATAACATTTATAAAGTACCGGTTTTATCAAATATTCAAAATTGCTCATAAGTTGTGTAAAACAATAGAAATTTATTTAATATTTATTTACAAATTAAATACATAAAATGACATTGATGATATAAATGATGATATATATGCGGCTAATAAGGGCTGACCCTAAACGACGGGTCAATAATTATAATACAATCTATTCGTCCGATTTTGTGAAGCGCTTTAATGAGTGAATTGATGGTCGAGTCCTCGTATTTACTCCAATCGGTGAGAAAATATTGAACACAATTCATACGCTGTCGACCCAACGACTCAAATATTGATATACTTGCGTCCGTATAGCCTATTATTCATTGGGAAATACATTTTAATTTATATTCATTTCAAAAACATATCATTCAAAACGATAATAATTACCTAATTCTTTGGCCAAAGACTTCCAACTCTTGGTTTTATTGTTTAGATTTATTTCGAAAGCTCTTCGAACAGAAGTATTCAATTCGTTATATCGTTTGACTATTGAATGAGAAATAGTTTTTTGTTAACTTTTCGTTAAAATATATTCTAATTTATAAAACAAAATAATTACCGATTAAACAATTGGTTGCTTTTTCATTGAGTTTCTCGCAATCGACGGACGCTTTACTTGTTTTGACGAATTGATTAAAATTATAGTGCTTTGCGTTTTGCGAATAAAATCCTTTACTATTATTATAAATGTTATGATAATTGACCGGATATTTGAAGGTCTGTTGACTTGACTTGAGATTTGCGGCCGATTTCACGTTATGTTTGATTCGCAATTGAAGTATGAAATACATTATTATTACCAAAACAATGATAATTAAAAGTCCAAAATATAAGGGCAGAGCATTGAAGCCCTCGTCTTCCTTGAAGTTCTCGTCGATTATATGATTCAACGAATATTTCAGTTTTCTTTTATCTGTTTTTTGTGTGATTAAACATTTTAATTTAATTTATTGCTTAAAATTAATAATTTCATAATTATTCTCTAAATTAAAACTACTGTTAAGAGTGCGGTAATATTTGTCTCAAATGAATATTTTAATTATACACTTAAAATTTTATTCAAAATTAATTGATTATTACATTATTTTAAAATTATTATACCGATTGTTACCAAAGAATATTAGTAGAAAAATAAAGTACTTTGTAATTATTCCTGTTGTATAGTTAGCGCAGTATTTCTGCATTGTTTGTAAAATTAGAGGTATTTTTATGGATAAATATATCATATCTACCAAAAGATTAAATTGTAATTATAAGACAACAACGGCTTCAATAAAAGGAGAGTAAATAATGTGATAACTATTTTATTAAAATATATTTGCTATATAATAGGCTATTGTTAATAGCATTTCAACCATTTGGGGGTAAAATAGTGAATGTCTGTGGATTTGGATCTAAAAAATGTTCACTTAAATTGTTATAACATTAGACAACATCCCGGCAACTGTTAGGTGTGGGAAATGGGGGTCCGAACAGTGTTTCCGTCAATTGTATGCCTAATTAGTGACACAAGTCTTCTCTCACGTATTCATTAGTGTTTTGATAAAAATATTTCGGAATATTTCAATCAAAATAATTATCACTTCATTTCTAATACAAGGCATTAATTTATTAGATAAGCATTTGTGTGAATAATACTATTGACCAATAATTACATGATTTTTGTTGGAAAAACGAGTTTTGAGTTTAGTTTCTGATCACTCATACCTTTAAGTGATAAGAATTTTTGTTTTGTGAGTGCTTTCGGAAATATTATATAAACTTATAGTTAGAAAATAGGATTGAATTATTTGAATGATAACATGAATCAAATGTTTTAAGTGATTCTCGATTAACTAATTAACTGAAAAATCAGTCGTTTATTAGTTTCTTAAATGTGTACTAATATTACACAAAATAATGTTTTATAAATTTATTAAAATATAAATTTCAAATTCAATCTTCTAATCGTTTAAATGTGCGAAAATCGACACAAAATAGTTATTTATGAGAGTTTTTAGGAATTAATAGTAGTTTTTAATTAATTATATTTCATATGAAGACCAGAAACAAGTAATGAAAATGATTTTTAGCCGAAATGGCGTTTTGAAAGTCGGCTTATTTTGCATTAATTGTCGGTAATAATAGTTTAGAGGTTTTGGAGAGAGAGAGAGAGAGAGAGAGAGAGAGAGAGAGAGACTGAGATGAAAGTTTGGTTCCTTCAATCGGATTACACCTATCATTATAATGAGGTTTAAAAATAATTCAGCGCTCAGAATGTCTGACACAATACACTATTCATATACTGTATATACTGTACAGTGAAGTGCACTAAACATTGTGTTTTGCTGTAAACCTGCTGTGAATTTAAACATTTTTTATTCAAGCATTTTCTCCGCCCGTTTCGCACCTCTCAGTCGATGGGCGTTGGGATTGAGCCGAAGTAAGAGCACAAAAAGTATGACTTCTAACCCATAATTACTACTTTTGACTCTGACTTTATTCCCCACAATATTTCTATATTTTATATACACTTATGCTTAACATTGAGAGAGAGAGAGAGAGAGAGAGAGAGAGAGAGAGAGAGAGAGAGAGAGAGAGAGAGAGAGAGAGNGCAAGCGTTTGAAGAGCTGGTCCTCTGGAACTGAGGGTAGAGTCATAGACAACAGTGGGTTTACAGTGTTATTATACATAGCGTTCCTTTCCCTCAATCCCAACACCTGAGCTGAACTGCCGGTGCGATCGCAAGTGATTGCAAATTACAGTCTATAATTTGGTGTCGGTTCTGATCTTAACATTAGCTAAAGCTTTATCTTAAAAGTAGCCGCAGGGCTAACAACACACACATACACATCAACCATACCATACCAACCGGTGCTTCCAATCCTATTCACTCCACTATAATAAGCTCTCTCTCTCTCTCTCTCTCTCTCTCTCTCTCTCCAAAACCTCTAAACTATTATTACCGACAATTAATGCAAAATAAGCCGACTTTCAAAACGCCATTTCGGACGCACCGGCAGTTCAGCTCAGGTGTTGGGATTGAGGGAAAGGAACGCTATGTATAATAACACTGTAAACCCACTGTTGTCTATGACTCTACCCTCAGTTCCAGAGGACCAGCTCTTCAAACGCTTGCTCTCTCTCTCTCTCTCTCTCTCTCTCATGAATTCAATTATACAACATTTTGTATCTGCCTTTTGAAGAGAGAAAATATTTTTTTGTATTCAAATCTATTGATTATTGTTTTTCAAAAGCGATTTTACGAAACAATTCATTCAAAAATTAAAGTCTTAACGTTTTTCTCTAAACTCTTAGCTTTGCTTTTGTTGTAATCTCAAGACATGAAACAAAAGTGTTGTTCGATATATAAAAATGTTTAATGTTTTTAAATATACATTAAAGACAACAACCGCTATATGTATAGACAGAGCAAAGACTAATGGCATAAATATTATATAAGGGATGACATGACATACCGATACAAATTGAGTCGTGAACTCCAGAGCATTCCTCGAGCATTACTATTAGGCAATTGAATAATAAACGCGTTTTAATTAATGTGTTTAATGGTAAATACAAAATATATATCAGAGAGAGAGAGAGAGAGAGAGAGAGAGAGAGAGAGAGAGAAGCTGTTAGTTTGAAATATTGAAATAGTGATTGCAATTAAGTTGATCGCGGGTTTGCATCCATCCATACCTTCATCTGAATTGCATTTCGTGCATAAAATGCATCCAATAGTACCGGTTTGGACACCAGAAAAGGTGCCGGGAGGACACTTTCGGCATACCGTGTTTCGAGACCCCCTACAACTCCGCCAAATACCTGTCCATAAGAGAGAACCATTCAAACGATTAATTAGAAAATAGAGGCAAACATCAAAAAGAGAGAGAAATAATAATTTTGTGTTTTTTGTTGTTTTTCATGAATAAGTTTAGTTGTGTTTAGTTTTTTCCTTTGATTTTCTTCTTTATAATCAAATGTTTTAGTTTTTAAATAATTATTATTCGAGAGAAAGAAAAATATTTCATCAAAAAGAGTTTTCCGACAATCATTCGCTAAATTCTTAACAAAAAACTCAAATAAAGTGTTTCACTGATTATAATAAGTTTTTGTGAATATCTCATGATTTTATTAAATAAATTGATTGTCGAGTGTATGTATTGTATTGTTTATCAGCACAAAAAGTATATATTTGTTTGACGAGTATTGTTGTGAACAATAAATGAATCCAATCCTCTATTGTCTCTCAGAATTAACAATAATATCTTTGCAATTGTTTTCTAAATTTGCTTTTGTATAAAAACAGATGAAGAATACCTCGGAATTAAGATATTTTCACAATTGGCGCATAAAATGCATAAATATAAAATAATATAAATATATTCGTACACTATATATATGCGGGTGTATTGTATAAATTGGTTCAATTTATACATTGTATATATTGTAATTGCATACATTATATTAGGGTAATATATTTTTATAGCTTATTTACGCTATAAGCGGGTATTCACTGAAGTTAACTGCACTATAAACCAGAATATAATGTAGAAATTGGCGCTAAAACAATATATTCACCAAAAAGTAATATCAAAACAATATTCATCTAATTGTCAAAAATATTGTCTAATATATTGTCAAATATATTGTCGATACAAATAATTGATAAGTTTTGATGAATTGATTGGAAGTAGAAGTGAGGCATTCGTACGGCAGGTGTAGTGAAACGGTAGGGAAGGCTGTGTTTGGAGTGTTTGGCCGAGTGTTGCACTCAATCGTAAACGTCTGACAGAGAATACCTCTAATTAAAGGCACCGCTCGAGTGTCGGATGCGTTCAGTTTTATGAGATTTGCCTTCAGTTTTATGACTGCATTCACACAAACGTGTTATTACTATCCGTGAGTGGAATTCCGCGAACACTTATAGTCAGTCCCTCTCTCTCGCTCTATCTCTGGCCCAACACTACTGTAGGCCCTGAAGTACTACCAGTGCTGGTGAGGCACTGACCCATTCGGACAGTCCTCTCCCTTTCCCTACCATTTATTGTACAATAATTTTCATATAAATTTATATTATTGTTATATTTGACGTCCAATACTTCGCACAGCTATGCGTTATTGCAGTGTTTCCGACAGTAAATACCGTTTTTCCCGACAATTAATTTATTTATTTATTAATTTCCAAATAAATACTTATTCGGCGCCAAAACACACACTAATCTAAATATTTGTTTCTCGCAAAGCGTCGCGAAAAGTAATTAAACTTCAAAAGTCTTTAAGAATAGCAATAAAATGAAAAAATTTCGCTAAAATTTTCGACAAATAATAGACATAAAAATAAATTGTTGACTGCCGTCGACTGGCGTTCACTCACTTTTGTCCCCCATATCTATCTATTGTACTGAAAAACTATATAATTTATTATTTCGCACAAATAATATTCGCGAAAACATATTTAAATTTCTAATCTAGTTTTTTCTCGTCAAAAGTCAACATAACCTAAGATTAGTTACAAATTATAATGAAATGCACGCAAAGTTAATGAGAAGAAAACTCATTTCTATGCACACGAATTGACACTTTTTCGGCTATAATACTGTATAGAAGTGAATAACCATTTGTTATCATCAAAACATATTACTTGTCAAAAAACTCATTATGAATCAACCAAGTTCATAATAGTGCTGTACAGTATGTGACAATACAATACATGTGTTAACAATTTAAAAGTTTTGTGTGAAAACTGTATGTAAAGGAAGAGAAGGAATACATTAAGTGTTGAAAACATACCCCAACCGGACTCGCATTGAGTACACGGCTTACACGTGTGGTCGACGGCCATAAAGTGTCCGGAATTGCAAACACATTGTGTATCGTGTGTTCCGTTGCATCGCTTGTGTATCTTTGAGTTGAGGGGACAGTCGGCCGAACAGTTCACACATTGTTTGCGCTCTAAATCATAGTATGTTTCGCCGAAATGGCACTCATTTACGGCCTGACTATCGAGTGTCGAGTTTTTAATGTCATTATTATTATCATCACTGAATTCGGTGGTAATGTTTGATGATATTCTGTGGCGACTAAGAATACACTTGAGATCATTGAATGAACAGTTGGTTTGCGTCGGAAATGTATCGAAATCAGAATCAGCTGAAGAGTTGTTGTCCTCAATACTGACCACACATTTTAGCTGTTTATATGATTTTGAAATAAATTATTTTTATAAATTTAATGAATATTTGAGTTCAAAATTTAATGAATAACACTTACCACGAGTGTAGCGATGAGAATGAATTGAATAATGTTTATCATGATTAAAATCTTGTGTTTTATTACTTTGTTTTTTTTGTTTCCAAACAATTTATCAAAACATATGAGAATCAAATGAGACGTTTGATTGAATCAAAGTCATAACTGATGTGTTAATCAAATAAATGACATTTTCATTACTGAATTAATTTCAGAGAAAAAAGTTGTTATGCTTTTCGCACAACAAAATCAATGATATTTATCTCCAGAAGAAAAAACCGAAAAACTTTTGCTAAAAGTTATTAGTTTTGGCGTTAAGTTAGAAGAGCTCTAACACAGAGAGGAGAGGAGACGTCGTGTAAGCAATGAATGAGTGAAATGAATGTTCAGATTCTGTGTTGGGGTTTGTGTTCACTGTTCAGGACTTATCAGTGAGACTAATGGAACTGGATTTTGAACTGTGCTCTCTTTCTCTCTCTCTCTCTCTCTCTCTCCCTCTCCTGAATGCCTGTGTTATAGTCGGGCGGTAACCATGAGATGAAAGTAATGCCTACTTTTTACAACTTGTGGCCGCTTTTGATGCACCGAAAAACAACACTCGAAAGTGAAACTAATTTCTATTCAATACGAGACACAAATGAAATTCTCATATTATAAACACTTTTTTCTCAACACCGCTATAGAGAGACAGACACACAGAATATCGCATATTGTTATCATATATTTTTATTTATTCATAAAGTTTTTAATCAAAAACCTATTGTGAAAAGTTATTTTTAGACATCAAACGCTCTCCACAGCACACATACAAACGTTTATTTGACGGATAAATAAATTAAATATTTAAATATACAGCTGAGGAGAGAGAGAGAGAGAGAGAGAGAGAGAAAGAGAGAGAGAGAGAGAGAGAGAGAGAGAGAATGGGATGGACTGGTAGTGGATTAATAGCATAGAAGCGCTAAAATGTTTTTACTTCGAAATCCGTTTCTAATTTTATTCATTCGTTTTCTTTAGAAAATGTTATTTGATTTTATCGTTTGATATAAACGTCTGATATTCTTATAAATATAAACATTTTTTGTTTGTATTAAAAAAATAAACTATTTCTGCGACTAATGACTGCAATAAATGGACTCATTTAACAGATAAACTCGATATTTCGCTTCAATACAAATCTCTTGCAAACCATTTCACTCATAACCGAAAGATCAGAGATAATCAAAACAATCAGACTTTTTATACGTGTTGTGTAATTATGTAATCAATGTTTTTATGTTATAAAAGTAATAAAAACCAAAACTAAACAATTGAATACAATTATGATCTGCTATTGTTAATTAACTTTTGGTTAAATATTAAAGAATATTCAAATATATTCACCAAAACTTAACATTTATATTAATATTTCAATAAATATTTTATTCCTATAGTTTTACAATGAAATTCTAGAATACATTTCCACCATTTGTTTGCAATTAATTGAATAATTAAATTAACAGATCGATAATTGAATACACATTTGACAAGTAATCAATTGCTAATGTGTTAAATGTATTGAAAGTATTTAATGTTGAATTCAGAAATTCCTTTTCCAAAAGTTGTGCTCAATGTTGAAAAAAGCGCACATTTTTCATATAAACACATAATTACATAATGATTCAGTAGTTATGATATATGAGTTGTATTATGGTAAGTGATATATGAAATTGATACACCCAATGCAAAACAATAACAATGTACATTTGTAATATACATTTTATATACTGACCTATTTGTAATCTGTGAATTTCTGTAATATTATTACATTCATTTAATATTGATACAATTTACTGGACGTAAAATAAAAGTAAGAATTGTATATTACATTATAAAATACAGTATTATTATATGTTTTTATTTAAGCATACATAATGAAAATGTTCTTGTATAGATACTGTATAGAATGACCACTACTGTACTATATGAAAATAAGTGTATATATTGTTAACAATGAAGTAATTGTTTTGATTTATTTCGATTGTATTTTTGAGATTAAAATTTATTATTTGTTTATGAATTTCAGTAAAACTTCTTAATTTTAGATCGTTATAAGACAGAATAGTTGTTTCATACCATAAAACACATTAGAAAGCTTGAAAATAGCAAAATATAACTAAAAATATGTTGCATTTTGGCCACTATATGCCAAATTCACTGTACACATATCTGAGATATGATATCTCTCTGTGAGATACGGTATCTCAGATAACTCACATTTATATTGTAATATGATATTATATTACTAATATCACATTTAATTTTATAATTTTATATTTTATTGTTTTTATTTTTGGCCACTATAAAGAATGTACAATGTATTCTTGTATTCAGTCACTGTATTATAACATTTTTTTGCAATATTATAATTTATAATCAATTTACTCAATATATTTGTTATTTAATTCATATAAGGAATTGAGAGGATATTTGAAAAAATATCATAAAATTCTCGGCATTTGAATGTAATTCAAAATAAAATACATTGAAATTAATTTCAGTTTTTGTGATAATAAATCTTAAGTGTTATGATTTACATATAAAAACAACACAATGAGTGAATCCCATTAAACAATATTATCTTATCTCACAATTAAGTCCGTATCACAAATAGTGTCAGCAATTAATATAAGTATTCATTTCATGTTTAATACAATTCACACAACATTTGAATGTAAAGTACAGTATAAAAGAGAAAACCTTTTGGATAAGACACTTGTTGAGAGGAAAAACTTGTTTTGTGTAATTAATTCATGTGTTAAACAATACATGAAAAATAAGAGTGCAATCAAACATGAATTTTAACTTTTTATTTCATATTTGCTTTTCTATAATATTTCTAAACTTTTGTCCCAATCCGTCGAATGGATCGGAAAAGCGGATGAGTTATACGATCACCAAAACGTGGAACAATGGGTCCATTGCTGTCCGCGACTACATTCACGAAGTGAAACTTATGCACCGGTTGTCACGCCTGCTCAGTCCTCTGGCCCTAAACGCCTAGCTTCACAGCCGGTGAAAGATACTGAGCGGCGTATACTTACTGAGTGTTGGGCAGCCGAGTTACCTAGTCCTCTACGATTACGAAGTTGTCGAAGTGTTTCTCTTGGGATCCGATGACCGATATCTTGAGCTGGAGTTTGCGCCCAAAGGACAGTATCTGGTGCTACAACTGCACGGTTCCGGGAATGTAACCAAATATCCATTGGACCTTGATAGTTTTAAGGCTAAAATTCATGGCGATAAATGGTCGGGAAGTTGTGTCGTTCCCAGAGATTATTTACCCCCAGATCTAACAAAATTCAACGCTTACGGCATTCACGGCACAGATCCTGACCGACACTATTTAGCTTTATTTCCTACACCTTATGGCAAATATACGGATCCAAACTTTCATCGATTGGATTACTTTCAAGCATTTGAACTCAAATAAAGTTTTCAAATAAATGAAAATACTGTATAATCAAAATGTTGTTGTGAACTCAATGTTTAATAATATTTCAATGAATCGATAGTTTTGATAATTATTTAAATAAAAATTGATTGCTTTCAATTCAAAGAGTCTTATTTATTAGTTTTATTAAATATAAGAAACTATTGTTATTATAATTTTAAAATTAATGCAAAGTATGATATGTTAATTACGTTAACGAGAGTTTAAAAGAAATTACAAGAGATTAATATTTAAATACTGTTAAAATACATATAAAATATGGCTAAAGTTTCTACAAAATGTCATACTATTAAAAGTGACTCTAATTTAGCACAAGTGAGACGACTGTACTTTAGGAGTGGCTAAATCTTCGACAGTAAACATGCCATCAAACCAGACATGAGTGACAATGTTATGAATGGTGAGCCGTTTGTGAGGATTGGGTTCAATGCAGTCTTCGAGAATGTCCCTGCACGCACTTTTTAAGCGGTCCGAATCGCTCTGAAAGTCTGTTTTATATCGTTTGCGTTTCATGTCTTCCAAGACGTTGATCATAAGCCTCGGGTCGTCTTCGCAATCAAATGGGTATTCGTTGAAAAGCATGAGATAAAGACAGACACCCATTGACCAGATGTCGGCTATGAATGGATTGAATGGTCGCGTTTCTCCGTATATCGACCTCTCGTTCAGCTTTTCCTGAATATACAGATGAAGGACTTGGGGTGACATATAGGGAACCGTTCCCTTCGGATTCCACTCTTTGATTATGCCGTCCTTCGGGTCAATGCGGAGACGACTTAAGCCGAAGTCCGACACTTTACAAATCAGATTCTTAATTTTCTCATTATCCTTATTGTCCTTCAGTTTCCGATCGGTGAACAACAATATGTTTCCCAATTTGATGTCCAAATGAGCGAAACCAAGATTGCAGTGCAAATAGAAGATACCGCTCGCGATGTGACCGAACAGTCGTTTGGCCTCCTCTTCAGTGAACCGATCGTTAAGACGTCGGCGATAGCTCTCAAGCGAACCCATGTCCGCGTATTCCATCATTAAATAGCACTTATCGTTAATAATGAAGTGGTCTTTTATGGCCACAATATTTCGGTGATTACTCTTCACGAGAGCGTAGAGTTCGCTCTTAAAGGCGTGCATCCGTTTGGCGTCTCTCACACCAAACTGGCCGTCGGCCGACAGATCCATCACTTTGCACGCCAACTCCTGGCCATCTTTAACCTCCGGATACCCACTGTCATCAGTTGTGTACGTCATATAGACGATAGCGTGGCCTCCCTTTCCGATCATAGCGTCCAACTTGTATTTCTTCATCTTAAGCAGCTCTGCCTCGAACTGCTGCGCCGTCTTATTCGTCGTATTCTTGTGCACAACAGTCACGTCTTTATCGGGAATCTCATCCGGAATCACATCACTATTGGCCCAATCCTTGGCATCTCTGGCTTTCTCTCCCATCTCTTCCATTTGATACGAGCGTATTCTTCGCCTGAATTCCCGTTGAGGTGCAGTCAGACCGCGAGAATCGGGTGTCTCCGACCGTCCGAAACATAGACGCCATAAATATGTGATACACATCACTAATTGTCACTCAATTAGTTCCCAACAAATAAAATAATCAATTGTTTGGTAAAGTTTTAATCACAGACAACGAAGATTTTTTGCATCAAAAATGGTTTGAAATAAAGTTTGAATTTTGAATTCTTGGATAACTTCACGCTCTCTATAGAGTGACCGACTCTTTGATTGTTATATCACTTTATATTACAGCTAATAATGCATTTATTTCTCATTCAATTGAAAACTATTGGCATATTTTAAATTAACTTTAATTATTTCATTGTTTGCACGCATTTTGTGTCGAGATTTAAATATTTGAATCCTATATAAGAAAACTTTTAACGGTTTGATCAGAACCTCAAAGTTTGCGTTAAGTATTGAGAATTTGTGCCATTTTTGTGAAAGTTCTTCAGTTTTAGAGATCAGTTTCATAGTCACTATGTCTTCTCACTGATGTTTAACTACCGAGAAAGCCCGCTAAGATTGTCACCAAACTCGCGTCTCAAACTCCTCTTCCGCGGCTGTCAATCCAAACTACAGCTCAACAAACACTGGTCAAATGGCCAGGCGTTCAAAGATCACGAGACGGGCGCCGACCACTTCCTCAGCGGTGTCATAGAAGTGGTTCGCGGAGACATCGATCAAGTGCTTCACCTCATCGGCCATCCGTACTACGAACACATCGGGCTCATCGCCGAAGACACTCTCAGCGCCACCGATGAAGTCAATGAGAAGTTCATGTCATTGGTCTCCAGAGCCCCGGCATCTCTTCTTCTTCTACACGACAGCCAACTCTACGGTGTAGTCATTAATGAGCAAAACGAAAAGACACTCTCAGCGCCACCGATGAAGTCAATGAGAAGTTCATGTCATTGGTCTCCAGAGCCCCGGCATCTCTTCTTCTTCTACACGACAGCCAACTCTACGGTGTAGTCATTAATGAGCAAAACGAGTGCCGTGTCGTCGGTGTCATTGATCGAGTGGTTCCCACACCGGAGGCCAATATTCTGATGTTCGGCAGCGATGGCCAGTGGAAGACAATCCGCTCGCGAGATATCAACATCAATTCTATGGTCGCGGATGGAGTGGTGTTTGTATTGGTCAGTGAAGGCGGTTATGCCTTCGTTGACACCGATGTCCGCCCATTGAAAGAGCAGAAAGAGATGCCAAAACTGACTCTTGTGGCCAATAAGGGGTATCTGATTCTCGAGAAGTCAGCACTTCATTGGACTCGTCTACAAATAGGACTAAAGAGGAGTGAATTCGCCACAAAAACGACCGAAATATTGGCCAAAGAATGTGTGGTCACCGGAAGAGGAGGTTTTCTGCGACGGGAAGACCACTACGAAGTGTTTGGCAGTCAGAACGCAGTCCTCGACTTTGATTCGCTCAAGAATAAAAAACGACCGAAATATTGGCCAAAGAATGTGTGGTCACCGGAAGAGGAGGTTTTCTGCGACGGGAAGACCACTACGAAGTGTTTGGCAGTCAGAACGCAGTCCTCGACTTTGATTCGCTCAAGAATATGATGGAAATGATGGCAAACTCTTACAAACAAACTGACGACAAGACTGAAGACAACGATGAGATGAAGGCATCGGATGACACGTCGGGCCAAAGCGTTGAGGCCGTCGAGGGCTCTGTCGGCGGTCGAGAAGTGGACTCTATATCGGACTCAATGGTCAACTCAATGGCAGGACTTGATGTGAGCGCCCAATCGGAAGTGTCTGTCAGTTCCGATGACTTGGATGACTGTCCGCCGGACAGCATCTCATAAAACAAGACTTCGTTTCATTGCCATAAGAAATTCAAAATTGATTTTTCATTTGTTTTTTTTGTGTATTTATTATTCATTGATTTAATTGTATTTAAAGAAAATTTTGTCATTTAATTAAAATATTTCATTTATTCAAATAAATACTTTTTATTCGTTATTTCTCTAAATTCTTGTTAAAAACAATTATTTATTTATAAAAATATAATTAAATAAATAATGATTTCGTAATAAATGTGTGAAACAAACAGTTGTCTCAAAAGATAAAAGTTTTTATTATTGAAAACAAACCACAAAATTACAGTTAACTCATGTTTTGATTGTCAACAAATGATAACCATTTCATAATCTCTTTTTTACCATAAACAAAACTTCGTGAAGGTCTCAACACAACTCTCGCGTAGGCAAAGCATATTAGAACTTTGTCAACCGTTGCCTCTCCAGGTGTTGTCAACTAGGGTTAGCGTAGCCTAGGCTGACTGCGAGAGGTCCGCCATCGAACACAGCGGCCAACTCTGGCCACAAGTGCTGAAATTCATCCACATTCAGACAACTGGCCTCTGAGCTGAGGTTAGCGCTCGTCAGACCCAACGGACCGCAGAGTCGACACAAATCGCGTATAAAGTTATGGTCAGGTATTCGGACGCCGACCAACTCGTGGCCCGGATTCAGGTTAGCGTTGAGTCCATCGGATCGGTTGAAGACTAAAGTGACGGCACCGGGAAGTAAGTCGTGCAACACATGGGAGCCGACTGTCGTGTCACACCATTTGCCGATTTGGTCGATATCTGCCACACATATGGCGATTGGCTTCGACTCGTCGCGTGTCTTCAGTTGGTAGAGCCGTTTGATGGCCGCTGTGTTGAGCACCGAAACGGCCAAACCATAGATAGTATCGGTCGGCAAACCAATCACTTGACCGCTGGTTAACACATGTTTGGCCGCCAATAGGTGTGAGTCATTGGTTCGGCCGTTCAATGCACTCAAACGGATCACTTTAGACATCACTTTTGCTATCATTCGGCGTGTCTTTCATTGGACACCACTTTGTGTGACTGATTCAATGGGAACCGACTCTAACCACATGTCTTCAGCATTACATCACTCGTCAAAACAAGCCATCAATTGATTGCTTATTGCGCTCAACACTAGAGACCACTTCAACGCCGACTCAATAATTATGACAAAAACATAATTGACTACAAAATGAGTGCACATGTCGTGCGAAATGTGTGATCAAAATAACATACTTTACTTTATTGGCTATCATTTTAATTAATTTCTAATCAAATCATAAGTAATTGTAATTAAAATTGAAACTAAATTAAGCGATGAGTCAATACTGTTGTCGTGTTTGACAGACATGTGTCGCCACTAGAGGTGTGTGTAATGCTTGCAAACATGCAGTGAGTGTGTGTTGTGTGCAAAAAGGGCGTAAGTCTTGTATCGTTTCATTATCTAAAAAGGGTCAATACATGTGTTGTGTATTACATGATTATTTGGTGCTTTTATATATGGATTCAATGTATGGATTGTATGTCTTTTATAACACACATTGAGTTGATTGTTGACAACAATACCAGAGTTCAGCTGTTTTTGTCAATACATTGAGTAAATCAATTGATTGTCACCAAAAACACGTCCACTTCTTTGCCCTCTAATTGCCATTTATTAGTGAATTTATGTTTTAATTATAATATAATGTTTTTACTATAAACCATAGGATTATTAATTAATTAACTAATTGTTTGTAAAATTTGAAAAATAGGCAAAAAATATACAAATTGTGAATTGATTTGAAAGCATTTGTGTACTTCAATGGGTAATGCTTTCAATGATTGAATTAATGATTAAATTTAATATATATTGCTTTTATTGATGTTTGCATTGAAGGGTACGACACGACCCGCTTTGACGCACCCGTCGATGAAGAGCTCATTTGTCCCATTTGTTCCGGTGTTCTCGAAGACGCTCTTCAAGTATACTTCCATATATGCCATCCATTTGTCCACTCATTTATGTCTTAATTATCGTTTAATATTGTGTCTAATTTTCTTAATGAAGGCTCCGGTCTGTGAACACGCCTTCTGTGGTTCGTGTATTAAAGTAAGGCTTAAATGGGATGCGATTGTTGTCTAAGACTTGCATTAATTGATTACTTGATTGTGTGTAGGAATGGCTGTCTCGTCAGATGACATGTCCAGTGGACAGACAACCGGTCAGTTCATCGCAGCTGAAGTCCGCGCCACGGATTCTGCGAAATCTATTGTCGCGTCTGAACATAGAGTGCGATAACGCGTCCTTCGGCTGCAAAGCGATCGTTAAATTAGATTTACTTCAAAACCATTGCAATGAATGTGAGTTCAATCCTAAAAAGCCGGTCCCGTGTGAGTCGGGCTGCGGACTAATTGTGCCCAAAGACGAACTTAAGGTATGGCCAGTGTGTGAGCGCTAGTGTTTTGTCATTAAATTGTTGTATTTGTCGCAAAGGATCACAACTGTGTCCGCGATCTTCGCTCGTTCTGCGAGAAACAGACGGAACAGATCACAAAATTACAGCAAAACTATAACGATATCAAGCGTGAGGTGAATATGTTGAAGGACTGCGTTCGGGCCATCCGTGCGGCCAATCCTAACGGCATTCCGGCGATCGTCGAGAGCTTCGAACACGACGAGGTCGAGCGCTGGGCCGCCACTCTTCAGAGGGCTCGAGTGACGCGATGGGGAGGAATGATTAGTACACCCGATGTGTCGCTCCAGGAATCGGTGCGCAAAGCGCTGATAGACTCGTCGTCTCCGTTGCATATAATCAATGAGTTGATGGAGAACTCACACGAGCGCCGGTGGCCGCCCGGCCTCAGCACTCTCGAGATTCGCCAAATGAATCGTCGTTTGTATGATAACTATATCTGTCGCCGCATTCCCGGCCGCCAAGCGGTGGTTGTGATGACATGCGATAACCCACACATGAACGAAGACATGCTTCTGGACCCGGGGCTCGTCATGATCTTCGCTCACGGCATCGAATGAACGCCCCATTTGTGTAGTTATCGCCGCATCGATCCATTCATCACAAAATACAACTATTTTTGCAATTATTTTAAAATCATTATTAAAGTGAATATGAAATGAAATGTTGGACACTATTGAACGCAAAACAGTTTTTCTCTCTCTTTATTCAGTGTTTGGCAATATTTACGTTACTTTTTAAACATTTACTTTTACTCGTAATTCAAATGCAATTTGATTTTTGGTATCAATTTATTTGTTTAATGATATAAAGCAATGGATTTGATTTGATCTCCGATTCCCTAAATTGTAATTTTAATGTATTGGCGAAAGTGAAGCAAAATATTTGTAAAATATTATTATTTATAAAAATTATGATAAAATATCAATTATATTATAAACAGAATATTAAGTGAATGAATAATGTTTGACTTCAATGAATAAATAAAATATTTATTTTTAATCTAACGAATCGATACTTTACTGCCGTTATGTTATTTTACAAATCAATGCCATTAGTTTAATATTACACAAACTTAACGTTATGAATACATCATAAGCCATTTGGTCCAATTAGTTAATGGTTACTGAGAACCACCACCAGTACGACCATGGTACATTTTCAAATTGAATAGAGTTTGGCGCACAGCGAGACCACTTCACTAATGGTCTATTAGTACAGCCATTGAAGTGTTATCTGAAAAAATATCACTGTATTATAGTTAGTATGAGTAGAGATAGAGTTGTGTCGTGAAAGTGTATCTGTAGTAGCGTAATTATAAATTACCTTTTTTTTAAAGATTACCTTCAGGTAAATTTACCAGGTAATAATTACCGGTAAATTTACCCACAAAAAGCTCACTCATTAGATGGCGTGAGTGCAACTTGTAGTCAATGGGTTTCAAGTATTGCATTTCGTCATTGATGTGCAATACTTGAAACATATGTCTCGCAATTCATTCAATCCTTTGTCTCGCGTTTCACACATTAACCCACAGATCAGTCATTGAGTGATTGATTTCATTTTAAACTCGTATCAAATCAAACCATTGTTTGCGTGAAGATTACCATTTGGCCACTCTTTGGACACAATCAACGCAACCATTAATTGAATACACAAGCCATATAACAAACTGTCCACTCATCCACACCAACCACATCCACACCAACCACATCCACACCAACCACATCCACACCAACCACATCCACACCAACCACAATTAAAATTAAAAAAATAAATTAATATTATTAATGATTTCAATAAAAGTATTTTTAATTTTGTAATTTGTTTTGTGTTTTATTTTTAATGATAGAATTAACTTATTTAAAAATTATAGTTAATCATAATTAGGATCAGAATTAGACAAAGTCAGCGGCCAGTGCCCTTAAGGCCAGCGCCCGAGACAAACGATTCATTTGTTATTAGTTTGAATTGCACACTAAGAATCAGATATAGCACAATCCCGGCTACCACTGGCCGCCCGGGCGCTGGATAGCGCGGGCGTAACTTCTAATCACTCCTAGTGTGATTCAAACTACCAACTTCTGAGGTCAGCCCAGAATACAACATACCATAAATAAGATTCATTTAGTTTAATAGATTTTCCAAACTAAACTAATACTTGATTTATGATAACACGAGTTACTCAATAATCACACCAATCCACATGTCAGCCATATTGGATCGCTATAGCATTGATGCCACCATAGACCAAAACTTTGAAAAAATCTAGTGAGACAACCAAAACACACCCATCTAGTATCGATACGTCAAAACACGCGTTTCAATGTACACAATATTGTGATATAACTTGCATTAATAACATTCTTATAGTTTCCCTAGAAATCAAACTTTTGTACTTATAAATTACATAAATTACCTTAAATATAAATTACGTAAATTTACCCTAAAATTACGGTAATTAATGGTAATTTTTATAAATTACTTAAATGACCTTCACGCTACCCAGCATAAAGCCCTTGTGTTGTAATTTATACACTATTCATATTTTACTCACATATAGTGTACTCTAATATAATGAATATTTGAAAAAACTCCTTGGTGATTCAATAACCACGTCATGTTTTTAATGTCACCTATTTCAACCTGAACGCTTTTACTTATAACATATACATTATATAACATTATAAATAAGTATATTTATTAAATAATAATTGATATAAAAAATAAAATATTTATTACAATTGTTAATTTAAGAGTTAGTTGATTTATACTATTTATATTACATTGAACTGTATTTTATTATATTTATTTCATTTAAGTAATTTTATTACATTTTTAATGTAAACAATTTGTTTAAATTGATAAAAGTTAATAAAATATTTAAAAATATTTGTGTAAACATTTTTTTGTCATAATTGAGATATAGTTTTTTACATAAACATGCATTTGTGAGAAAAATCATACAAATGTAATTGTACAATGATTGTAGTACTAATAATAATCTTGTTTATTTTATTTAAGTTTCATAATTAAAAACAAAAATATTTTTCATTTAAATAATGAATTTATTATACAAATAATTGTATTAAAAGTTTTACGAGAGAGAGAGAGAGAGAGAGAGAGAGAGAGAGAATTAGTTACAAAATAAAGCCGGGTTTTTCTAGTATAATAAATAAAATTATTCAATTTGTACTTATATTTTAATTAAAAAACTATACTTTATTATTTATCTCAAAAATATTCTAGTTAAGTTGCATCCTACATAAGCTGAACGAACACGGACCTAATATTATTGTTATTCAATAAAGGTGTAATCTTTTGAACTAAATTATCAGTACATTATTCTTTCAATTAAATTTCATCTTTTATATTAAAAAGAATATATAAATTGCAACAATTATTAGCAATAATTTATTGATATAAACTTAACCAAACAATACGCTTGCTAAAATGTTACAAACTTATCAGTACTCAATACATGAAGATTAAATGGTTAGTGGATTACAAATAAAGTACACTTTATATAAGTACACGTTATCTAACATATACTGAATATAAACTGGCATAAAATCACAAAGTAACTACATTACAAAGTTTTACCTTAATTAATTAAATAAAGTATTTGTTGTTAAAATGTGGATCTGCAAAGTAATTGTCTTACTATATATAAATTTGGCCATGATAACAGCAAATATCACCAACATTTCAAAATCTATCAAATTAAATGATGCCATAGATGATACTATAGAACTAATTAATTCATGTCGAGCAAAAGTACCATGCTTAGCTACAGTTAAAACTGATCAACATGCTGATTACTATTGTTGTATGTTCTACGATATATTTGATTGTCTGTTGGAGGATGATGGTTCAGTCACAGTATGATTTAAACATGGTTATACGTGATAATAAACTAACCTGCTAAATTTTATAGACTATATGTAATGAAGAGGAAAGGGAAGCAATTGAACACAAATGGCCTTATATTGGGGTTAAGATTGACGACGATTTTTATAATGAAGTTTCCTGTTCTCAACAAGGCTATTATGGATATAGCAGCAGGGACGTTTGCAAAAGGTCAATGACTACGGAACCAACTAGTGTCCCTACCAGTGCTACTACTAGTAGTGATTATACTACTTCATCAGCTTCATTAATTTCTTTTTATAAATCTAGTTATAATTTCATGTGCCTGATGAGTTTGGCATTTTTATTCTATGTATAATAATGCTTTATTAGTGATATTATAAATAATATAGAATTCTTGTTACAAGAAATTCTTGTTGTAATTTATATAAAATATAAATAATTATAAATTATATGTAGCCTGATTTTAATTATATTTTTCTATTAAGATAATTAGTTATTTCATTATAAACTTTTAAGTAATTTGGTATATTAAAACAATTTTTTAAAAATCTATATAAAAATCTCTATAATGTCCAGCAAAATATTTATTAGAATATAACTTGAAATTTTGGCCCATTCAACTAGTACACTAATTTTATTCGGTATTTTAAAGAATTATAATAATAATTATAATTAATCCACTAAAATCTAATGGAATAAAGCCTACTAATAAAGTCTAGTTTACTAAATTGTAATATTTTGAATAATAATAATTACTAAACAAACATTAAATATGCTCATAATTTTATTATGCTAATAGCATAATAACAGCATATTAAGCCTAACAGTTATTAGACTACATCTTTGGTATATAACTTATCGTATAAAGAGCAGAAAAAGAGAAAACATATATACTTATATATAAGTTACTATATAATAATATTAAAATAATTACATTTTGACCATTGCTAAACAATAATTGTTGGAATAAGTGTGGGAAATTACAACTATTACATATGATACGAATACTTCAAGCACTACATCCGTAAGTACTATTCAAATGGTGTCATGAATTATAAATTTAGTTATATAATTTTTTTATCTATATTATTATTTGTAATTTATTAATTGCTAAAAATAATTTTTAATTGTCATTAATTACCTTAACGGTAAATATGTAATTAATATATTATTATTCAACTAATATATTGTTTTCTGTGTTTATGAACCCTAGAAGCTTAAACTGGGAGAATAATTACCACTTTGAATTTTAATTAAAAATCAATTAAGAGTGCTAGCCGTAAAAAATTCATTAATGCCTCATAAATTGTTAGCTTTAAATATGGGTAAAATTATATGTTTATAAATTATATTATTAATTAATTATCATAGTTAAATTAGAGTTTGGGATATTAGTCTCCCAGTTTATGTGTTATGTGACTTTTGTCCGACAGTATAAATAGTGCTAATTTTAAACTGCCCTTACTGTATAAACTGGGAGATTAATATCCCAGCATTAAACTGTATAAACTGGGAAATTTATCTCCCAGCATAAAACACACTAAAGCGTGGGATATTAATTTCCCAGATTATGTACAAACTGCTGGGAGATTAGTTTCCCAGTTTATTAACAACGTCTATAATTATAGTTTAAGCTTTAAGGGTTAAAATATGTTATTAAATAAACTGTAACTAAACAAGAAATAAATTTTTAAATTAGACATTGATTTCTGATTAATTAATAATGGGTTACTACATCAGTGTCTTGACATGCTAAATCTATAAACATTAAATGTTATATTTGTATATGCTATAAATATTTTATAAATAGCTATTGCAATTATTTTATAAAGCTATATTTAGCTAGCTTTAACTCTATTTGTTAATGATATAATACAATTATCTTTAAAAAATTTAGTACTACAATCACCTTAGTAACTTGATAACTATAGTCTTAAACACCATACAGACAATTAACTATGCTATCAATTTGACAATTAGTCACTATATAAGCAGGATCATCGGT